TGCGCTGTGCGGAGATGCAGAGGAAACCGTATGTGGTGGGGAAACGCAGCTCGACGTAACACCGGTATTTCCATCAGGAAAACGCTGTTTTGCTGCTGGAGTCATCATCACTCTCCATCTCTCTGTGTGTGCTGTACGTTAACACCCGCCAGCGGAAACACCCACCTACCCAACTGACAGACGGAATCTCACTATACATCAGCCAATCTCATCCTCCCCTCTCTCATGACAAGGCGCGCACCTCTGGATCACCTAAAAAATAATCTTTAATATCTCTTAAACAAAAGAAGCACAAACAATATTTTTTTTCTGCACAAATCTGCACTAACGTTGCATTAACCATTCAGTCTATTTGCAGAGTTTTTTGACGTGGGTGGGGTGTCAGCTTCACGCAGCTACGCACAAGTCCTATCTTGAAAAAAGGTTCATTGTGCGACCTGAGTAACGCGCAGTAACGGGGTGTCTGCAATGGTAACTGCGTTATAGTTACAGCCAAAGTAATTAGTTAGATTACTCGTTACTAAAACAAGGTAACGGCGTTAGTAACGCCGTTAGTCCCATCACTGCTCACGACCTTAGGTCAGATTTGATACAGGGTTTCTCAAAGTAGGGGTCAGTCCTCTATGTTAAAGCATTTCATTTCTTCCAAAAATGTTAAAAAAAAAAAAACAATCCTCTGGACTTTGTTTCCAAGTTTGAAGCATTTCGCTTCTATCCAGGAAGATTTTTCCAATTCAAAATGTCAAAATTAGCCATGAGTTTGAGGTTACTATAATCTAGATGACTGAGAATCTTCAGTAGCACATTTCATGAAACTTCTTTGCTCTGAGTTAAGGCAAACTCCTAATATTAACCCCTTTAAGTGTGACAATGGAAACCAGTTTATTGAAAGTGGATTATTAAGATGCTCCAGGAAAAAACAGATGGAAACCAGGCTTTTCTTACCTGTAGGTCAATGACTAGCTCCTTAGAGGAGGAGAAGGTGGAAAGCTGGGTTGCAGAGCCCACGCTGACCCTTGGTACAGCAGCACTGGAGCCCCTCCACAGCCCCAGAATGCCGTGTTCCCTGTGGATGACCCTGAGAGCATGGATCATCCCCTGTCAGGAATAGAAGAAGCAGATCAGAAACCTGTCTTCAACATCTGTGTGTTTGGGATAGATCTACTACCTGGTGTTTATACTGATGTCCCACTGCGATGGAGGAGGTAGACTGACTCTGCAGATGAGTCTTCACCTGTCAGATGGGAGAGTTTTTAGTTAGAATTCATCAGTTAAACTTTTTAGACCCATAAAGTGAAGTCGGATGCTGACCAGGTACACAGGGCTGCCCATGACAGCGCCCACCACCCCAGCGGCGGCTCCTGCTGCGATGGTCTTCAGAGCGCTGACCCTTCCGTTGGTGTGGATGTGACCGGCGGACTCAATGATGGCGAAGGAGCCGAGCCGGACTCCATTCATGAAAAACTGATAGAACAGACCGGGGACCAGGCCTTTCTGCAGCCCGGCCAGGCCGTCCACTTTACCGATGGTGTAGAAAGCGTGGAAAACGTTGCGGTAGTAAACCTGGTAGGTGCCGCGGCTCTTCAGCTCCCCTTGAAGTTGCATCCGCGTCTTGACGACCTCCAACGGGTTGGTGAAGAGGCAGGCGCCGCAGGCCGCCACGCCGCCCAGGATGAAGTCCATCCGGGTAGGTCGACACAGCCGCCTTCGGTGTGTCTGAAGGGCAGCGGCGGAGTTTAGGCAGGCTGACCCTGGATACCGTCCTTCATCTTGTAGGGTTTCTACTGTATAGCCGGGAAGGCCCCGCCCACTTTATAACTGACGCTACAGATGCACGCAGACGTGGCTACTTCACGGGATTTCTCAAACGTCGTAATTTCGAATTATGTACGTGTGCGCTACCCATCGATCTTTGGAATATTTTATTTATTTAAAAAAATATTGCAAAAAAA